TAATTTTCTACAATTTTGAATCAATTCATTATTGTTCGTAGTAGTAATGAATTTTAATCATTTTTGGAGAATATGTCTATATTCCATTAAGTAATATATTTATTATTTTTAATGTTATTTATAATAAAATAAACAAAAATCATTAAATATCGTTCGAAGCGTATTGATTACATATAAACTTCAAATTAAAATTAATTCAATTTTTATTGATTTAGCGCCCGATCATTAAAATAAATTTCTATAACATGTAAAGCAAAACTAGAAGTAACCTTATTTTTTTCAGCAAAATTTAAAAATTCAAAATATGTATTATATTATTTATCAATTTTCAATTGATCGATATTAATTTTCTTTTTGCCTCGATTGGATATGTAAACCTACTTAATATTGTCATAGCAGTAAACATAAGTGCGCACTTCCGTCGTTTTTGGCATATAATATGAAATTGCAGTTTCAGCTTATGGTGAATCTTACACATCTTGATTGGGTTATTTGTAAGTTATGGGCATATGTAGGAGGTATTAATGTTATATTTACTTTGGAAAGTTGCCAATTTTGTTAAAAATAAATGTATAGAGGTATTATTGTCGCTTTTTTGTCTTACTATTTTCTCTACACGCGGTGAGACACTTTTTCTAGAAAATGATTAGTTGTGAAATAATAAACATTAGTGATGAAATTAGTTTTACTTGAGGAAATATAATCTGCGAATTTTGGGATGTAATGATAAAAAAACTGTTACAACAAGCCCCTAGCTCCCCTATATATATGTAACGTCATTCAATAAGTCCGTAGGATAGCACATAGATGATGTAGCTGTGTGAGCATCCATATGATTTGTAGGAAGCAACAGCTTTAAGATGATATATTTTAAAAATTTCATGACAATCGGACAATTAGTTTACAAGCTACAGAGGTTCAAGTGACGATACATTTGAGTTTTTTGAAACCGTGAATTTAAAGCAATTTCGTGGGTTGATTTATCATTACTTTTAGATGGGTAAAAATTACATTACTGCTAAAGTATTGTTTGTTAAGGGTAGATTTTAAAGAAGTGGTTTGCTGTTTTTAATCATGGTCATACAGACACTGACGATGCTGAACGATCTGGAAGGCCAATTGAGGTAGTTACACCGGAATATTTCAAAAAAGTCCACCAAAACGTTTTGGAAAACCGAAAAGTAAAATTGCCTGAGATAGGCGACACCCTAAAGATATCAATAGAACGTAATGGACATATTGTTCACAAATATTTGAATAAGAAAAATCTCTGTGCTAAATGGGTGCCGCGCAAACTCACGTTTGACCAAAAGCATAACGAGTTGATGATTTGTAAGAATATTTGGAGCTGTTCAACCGATATAAAACTGAGTGTTTGCATTAATATGTCATCATGGATATCAATATGTCACCTGGCTTCAACACAACACTCCGGAGTCAAATAGATAGTCAGCCGAGTGGACTAGACATGATGACGAGAAAAAATGCAACCAATCAGGTAAGGTTATGGCGTCAGTTTTTTGGGATGCGCAATAAATGATCTTCATCAACTACCTTGAAAAAGACCAGACCATCAACAGTAACTTATTGTATAACATTATTGGAACATTTGAAGATCAAAATCAGAAAAACAGTCCCATTTGAAAAAGAAAACCGTGCTTTCCAGCAGGACAACGCACCAAGTCACAAATCTGTAAAAACAGTGAGTAAAAAACATGAATGAGGATCCAAATTGCTTTCCACTCACTTTATTCTCTAGATCTACCCCCCAGCGACTATATCCTGTTCTCAGATCTCAAAAGGATGCTTGGTCTGAAGAAATGCTTGCCAAATGATGAGATAATAACAGAATTTTGTGGCTAACTACAAATCGTACAACAAAAATGGTTTCGAAAACCTTGAAGTTTGCTATAATTGGTATATCGTCTTCGAAGGAAAGTATGAATGGTTTTTCTTAGTTATCCTACGCACTTATTGAGTGAAGTATATGTTATTAATTTTTATAATATGTTTTGAATTTTTTAATTATATTAAAAAAAGCTTTACATTCAGTTTTGGTTTGCATGTTACAGAAATTTGTGTAATTCACATATGGGAAGAGAGGAGAATAATAATTAAATTTTAACTTAAAGAACTTCATACAAATCTTTTACTCAAGTTTCCGATAGCCCTTACTCTAAATCTTGTTTCATCATTATTTTTACATCATTGCCAGCTTTTACACTTTATGCAATAAATAATATAAAATTAGACAAATGTATATAAATCGCTTAACAATGCCCTAGGAATGAACAATTTGTAGAACTCATTTCAAAATGTTATAAAATTGTTTTGATTTAAAATTACATTTGGTGCATCAAATATTTGAAGAATCATCACGCATTCAATTTTAATGTTATATTTACAAAATGATATTTAATATACATTTGCGCATATTTTCTCAAATCTATTTACAATTTATATAAAATACATATGTACTATTTTTTCATTTTGTTTGTTAACATTGAAATTCATAGAAATCAAAATTAATTCATTTACTTTAATGCTTATGTTAAAAATTATGTAAAGATTGTATTACGATTAATTTTAATATGAAAATTTTGGCGCTCTATTACAATTGTCGACTAACTTTTGAAATGTTTATATTATAATATTTTATTTTGAGCTATTAATATTATGTTTAGAAATTTGTCACTGTATGGCTTCTGGTGCACAATATTGTTTTTCCGACATATAGGATAGTACTTTTTGAAATGCAATTTTCAATATTTATTAATTTAAGTCGGTGTTTGCATTCTTGGCAGCATCTTCAAAAGTTTTGGAAGCATATTAAATGATATACTAAATAAATTTGTGTTTAGCATGATACTGAAACAAATTTGGCATAAAAACTTATCTGAATCAAGTTGGGAAGCATGTTAGATTACATATTATCTTTCGGAAAAAAAATTCATGTAATTATTACACAAATAATCTATGCCGGTGGTGAAATACAGGCCGAACAATGTGTTAATCCAGAAGCCTATTATATTAATCTAAAACTCAATTATTGTTCACTAAGAATTGCTAGAAAAATGTCCCTTAGTTACGGAAGAATATCTCAAAATAGATATATTTTTATATATACAATTCGCCAACGAAATAATTTCGTGCCGCGGAGTTCTCAACATCTAAAAATGTTGGGAAGACATGTCAAATATTCGGTAATATGATGCAGATCTTTCGTGGCATATAGTTTTCTACCAAATGCACTTTTGTGACAAATCTTTGCTTTCATACGAGAAACGAGCGCTGTAAACATTATTTTAACAAAGTTGGTGAAACTTGCACAGTTTTCGTTCAATAAAGCGCTCGAATACTGGTTTATTATCACATACAATAAATCCAATACGCTTTGATGTAAATGCATAGTTTTGCTAAAGTCGGAATAACAGAAGGCGATCTTGAGAATAATATTGAAAAAGATCTCAGGATATCAGATTAAGGGGGCAATTCTTCCTCATAACACAGCGCTGTCATGGCAACGCTATCTTATGCTTGTTTATTGGTAGTGAAAACTGTGACAATGTCTATCCATTTTCTGTGCGATCAAGCGTATTTTACTCATTTACTCATTTGACCAAAGCCAATGGTTTTGATCCACAGTCCAGAGTTTGATTGACCTAGTGAATGACTTAGTGATTAGTTTCTTCATAGTCTCCTTTCAACATTACTATTTCAACTTTTTCCTATTTGGTTATCTTAGCTCTATTTACGTCTTAGTATTTCAAGAACTTATACGGAGACTAATTTATATTATCATTTCTGGAAATCACATCTGATCCTCTTATAGACGTCAGCGTATGACTTATCTCCTAGACATTGTGTGTTGTTTATTCGAAAAGTCAAATCAGATTAATTTTCATAGAACTCATATAAATTCGCTTAGATTTCAGCTAATTTATGCTGCTTATTATAACCTTATGTAATTCTGCTTATATTCTCTAAAGTTAATTCATATCAATTTTATAGTTTACTTTTGCCATTGTTTTTAAAGATCTAAGTTACCACTTCGGCTATTTAAGTTTTGCAATTTTGCAATTTTGGTTACCTTTGCATATTATGCCCTGTTCTAAAATTTAATCTTCAATAATATGAGATTTGTGATATATTAGTATGAGATTTTTATTCAAGAGAAAGTTTTGATTTGAACTTCAATGTGCCTTAAATATTGATTCATAATTTTCATTACGCACAAGATCGACTTCTGTTATTTATATTTTAAAATGCAAATATAACATACAAAGATATAAGAATAACAAGCAAAAAATACAAATAAAGCGTCCATTATTTTTAATGAGGCACATCAATTGCTTTGTTCGTGGTACAAAGCCCTAAATAATATTTTTGAAACTGCCAAGTGTTAGTCGTTGTAGTATTTATGATTCCGTACTAATGAGTTTAATGCATTGTTGCCATTTTAAAATTGGATATTAGATAAAAATTCATAAATGTAATGTCATATCATAAATGCTTAATAACATATGTGATAAATAATGTTTGGTTGCTGAGAGCAGAGTACGGAAGCTAAGTCGAGTACGAAACCCAAAAAATTGTCTCAATTTCTTTTTACACAGATTCACTTTCAAATAAAAAGCAAATAACCACAATTCACTTCAAAAACAATTCGTTACTATTTTCTTATAATCACAGTTAGAAAATCTTTGTATCTTTGCACAAGATTTATAACACCAAATCGGATATGTTCGATGGGTCTTCATGGCACATTCACTGTTACGTACTTTTATCGTTCTTAATACGTAGGAACTGGCACACATATATCGTTTCGTAAACATTTGACAAAGGTTAAAACAATATTTCATCCAGAGCCAAAGTTTTGTAGTAACAACTTTAGATTTAATTTTCCCATATTTGATTTCAATTAAAAGCATTTCTATCTAAATTTTGGATTTTTAAACAATGTCCTCATGTGAGTGACAGAAATGTGTACGGAAGGCTATATGCATACTTATCATCATTACTTTATATATTTACATGGAATAGTTTTAGACGAACTCAAAATAATCTTTGAACGCAAAAAATTGACCCTTGCACCAATACAGACACTGCTCTGTTCTATCTGTTAATGGAATGAGAGGTGTGCCATCCTTGATAGAAATGACCACGTCATCCGTTGATGGAATTAGCCACATCGTCAGGTGGTGGCATTATCCTTGTCATCCAGCATTAGAAATATCCACGCTATCCATCAACGGCAATTGTTGCGACTTCAAGTTATCGAAAGGGCGCTTCCAGAAGACGCGTCGTTACACAGATTGGGCTCGTCTATTCGAAATTCCCGTATAAATAATTCTAGGGGAAGCATGGCTCTGTTCCACAGCAAAACAGAATTCTCGTAATGGCAAAGTTTGTTCTGGAAGCAACCGTTGCGTATGACCAGGAGATCGCTTCAGCGAGAACCGGCTCCTGTTTAAAGAAATTTATTAATATTATAAAATAAATAATATAAGTTATATATGCCTCAATTGCTAATTAATTTCAAATGCTTGAAATCAACCGCTTTACTAAAAGAAATAATTCTCCGATATTCATCACAAAGTCTACGTGCCAATATATAAGGTTGTTCGTAAAGTCGCTTCGTTTTTTTACCACCAGAATAGTTAAATTCTGGTAGTAATAAAAGAATTCTTTTTTTTTTTTGAACCTAACAACATACTTAAGCCCTATAATTATTAAATGATTTGAAAACTTATATTGTAAGGCCCGTGTGTTAAAATTTTTAATCAATTATGTTATTTTTTGAAAATAACGACCAAAAAATTTATGTTCTCGGAATTATGCTAATACCAGAAATAAAAAGATGTTCGATCAAAACTACCAATACATAATTTATTAAAGTAATTGTTTATAGTACGAAAATTACGTGCCAAAATGTCTATAAAAACGAAGTTACTTTCCGAACAACCATAATGTAATATGTGTATTCTGGACGTCATAAAATATAAATACAACACTATTTTTTAATTAGAATTTTCAGTAAAATTAATAATTTATGGATCATTTCTGATCTTGAAACTATTAAAGTTATCACAACCAAATGTCTTGCTCCATTCTTCTATGGATTCTATTGAAAAGCAATACACTGGCATAATGATTACGAGGTGTATTCCAAATGTACTAGAAAATTTTTAATTACTTGTGTATACATTTCCCTAAAACATGTTGAAATTTTCAACTATATTCACTGTTAATTTAGTCTGTTGTAGTCGATTTTTACTTGTTGGAAGAATTGAAGTGTTAAAGAATTTAAACTCAATTTTGCGTAAAAAATAAAACAAAAAGTATAACTAAGCCTGTAAAATGATACAGAAAGCCTATTGTGAGTCTGCTATTAGAAAAAAACGAGTGCTAACAAGCAGTCGTAAAAACGGTGATGATGACAAAGGCCAGCACGTCAATATTCGATTAAAATATGGAAAAGTAGAAAAAATTGTTATAAATTATCACCGAATCACAAATACAGAAGTTGCTGATAAATCTGGCATATCAATTGACTTATGTTATAATATTATTTCAAATGTTTTGAGTATGAAATGAGTGGCAGCAAAATTTATTGCATAACTGCTCACGCATCTGGTCACTTGTCGTTGCTTGTTCGTTTGTTTTTAGCTCTGGTTAACGGCTCTGGTTAACTTTTACCTGTTCCTAAAGTTGAAGAAACCTATGAAAGGGCGACATTTTTTTTCCATTGTTCAACAAAAACAAGCATCGTCAAATCATAAAAACACGTTAAACCTTACTGACTATCACAGACAAAGTAAAATGTGATTACAGTTGAAAATTTTATCATAGTTTCATTAGGAGGACGTATTCCGATACAGAAAACAATTGACAAACGATCTCTCCAGGCAAGAGAAATTTTAAAAATCTAATACTTTTTAAACACACTCGTATACCTTCACTTCGATCAAAGTAATAATAGTAATAATATTAATAATTATATCACCTTCTATGGCAGTGCGTTCTAAAACAACAGCATCGGCAAGAGCACAAAGAGTGTTCTGAGGTATCTGGATCCACGGAACTGCTTTCTGTGATGTGATGATGACCTAAGTTTCCGCTCAATATTGATCCGTTAGCAGTAATAACATCTCCTTCGAGGCGCACAGCTCCTTGCAGCGCCTACAGATCCATAAACTTATTAATTAATACAATTCAAATTCATACTAATACCCTATTTTATATTTAACTAGCAAACCCGACGAACTCCGTGTCGCCTCCAGATGATTTCGTGAGAAAGATGAAGAATTTTTTTGTTTTATATTTGAAAAGAAAAAATTTGATTTTTTTACACAACAGTAATGAACTCATTTCGATTACAAAAATGAAGTGTTTTTTAGTTGAACTTCTCTAAGCAAATGAAAGTGAATCCGCCAATTATCCGTTTCATTGAAGTGCTCTTTGGTAAACCACATTTTTTGTTTTTTGGTCTGACGTTAACACAAACAAGAGCGGATGGTTTCCCAACTCGTGAACAGGCAACGTATAACTGCCCATGTGAAAAACAATGATTTTCCAAATAATCTATTTGAAATTTATCCCGCAAACACTAAGCGATGGGCTTTGCGACTTATTATTGCGAACGCAAGGCGAACTGGAAATTGCAATCGTTTGAAGTCAAACGGAAGACCATTCGGAACCATTGGTATGTCAGCAATTTTTGATTGAATAGTGAAATTCAGTGCGTGTACATCATTATTCTTTGCGGCAAGAATTGTTCGTTGACTTAACCAAGCATAATTCTGATAATTCTCACTAATGTTATTACTCGAATTTTTAATTACGGTGCGTGGAGTTCCAGCAATTTGCATTAATATTCTTAGCTATAAACCTTGCGGAGCCCGAGACCTTTCCAATGAATGCTAAATTGTCAGGAAGGAAACCCCGACTTATTTTTATATATATGTAGATGATTAAAATATTGAAATTAGAATACACCTGGAGATCTTTCATAAAAAATGTTGGAGTTAAAAGTTTAAATAAGCATACACAGTACAATAATATTGAAATTCAGCGTATTATTGGACATTCTGAGTTAAAATTTATAAGCACGGCGTCGAATATTCATTTTGAAAAACAACTTGGAAAAATGAAATTGAACCACTGAGGTTCAAATTATACCAGTGTACAGTTTTATAAATTCAATACCTTATTGATCATTTTATGGTCATTTCAATATTAATTGTTCTAATTTGATGTATCATAAGACCAATATTATTGGCTCACATGATTTAAATATTATTAAATTTAAAACGGCAAAATGTAGGGCTCGATAAAATACTTTTACGGTTCATTTTAAGGTAAATATTATAGGAAGAGACTCTATCAATACTTTGTGTGTATATTATGTTCTGAGTTCTTTCCTTACCAAATTCCTATTTCATAAATTCTTCCTAAATAGGCTTCTCATAAATGAAAAAAATTAATTGAAAAAATTAATTGTGAAAATTAATGTACTTGAAAAATTGATTGTAAAGTTCTAATAAACTTCTAATATGACGTAGAAGTGTATGTTAATAGAAACATGTACAAATCAATATATTGAAAAACATTAAATAGAATACGATATAAACTAGTGGTGTGTATGGCATCGTGCCTTACGGCAAATGTTGCTGGAACTTCCCGTACTGTTATGAAATATTCGAAAAATTTTAAATGTTTTCACATATTTTATTATAAATACTGTAACTTTCATTGTAACTTAAAGTATATAAAATCCGAATTATTTTCAATATTCAAAAAAAAATTTTGGGAATTAATTTTTTTTATTTTGTAATTCGAAATAAAAAAAAAATTCATAAAACAATTGTTTCGTCAAAAGAAGCAAAAATTTTTTGAATCATTTAAATTGAATGCTTCGTTCTCTCAAAAACTGCACTCAAAATCATTACAAATTGGATGTTTTTTGAATCATTCAAATGGATGCTCTGTTTTCTCAAAAACTTAATTTGTATTTTCTGCACTCTTTCAGAGATGCTTCATATTTCAGAGTTGGCTGGGCCGACTTTTGCCAAACACTAATCAGCACGACTCTTTATCAATAGAAATCGAATGCTTTTTGAATATTTCAAATCGGTTAATCCGTGCTCGCGAATACGGGGACAAAAATTGTATCCATACACACACATATTAATTTTTTCTAAGGTATGCCAAAATATTCAGAATCCTCTAAAAGGTGAAGATATGCAAAAATTTTCATTTTAAATCTTTGGACGATTACTATGACACCCTACGGGAAGTTAAAAAGTTAGTAAAGGAAACAAATTCAAATTTTGTAAGTGGCTGAAGGCCAAAATCAAATAAATAAAAAAGTATTATTTATACATCATTTTTGTTAAATTCCCGTAGGGTAAGTTATAGTAATCGCAAAAAAATCGAAAATGAAAATTTTTATATATCTTTACGTTTCAGAGGTTTCTGAATATTTTGGCATACCTTAGAAAAAATGGATGTATGTGTGTGTGCGTGTATGTATGTGTGTGCGGATACAAATTTTCGTCGACGATTTAGGGAACACGGATGAAGCAATTTGAATAATTCAAAAAACATTCGATTTGTATTGATAAGGAGACGTGCGATTAGTTTTTGGCGGAGGCAGGTCGAGCCGTTCCAAAGATATGGGGCAAAAAGTGCCAAAAACGGTACCTCAGTTTTTGAGAGGACGAAGCGTTCGATTTTAATAATTCAAACAACATTCTACTCGTATTGACAAGATGAAGAATAGGGCATTTTCATAAGGGCAGCTCTAGCGGTTTTGGAGATCTAACGAAAAAAGTAAAAAAAAAATGCCATTTGGCGGTCAAAAATGATCATTTGACATATGCACATCAAATTATCAGATATTTTATAGAGATTTTAACAATAAGTATAAATTTTGTTTACATTTCTATGGTTTCCGTACCAATGTTTATACGTTAGGCAGCGACGCGGCGCTTACGCGCTTTATATTTTGTCTCTATGCAGTTAAAGCAGTACGATTGCTTTGAAAAAAAGTTCAGATCTTCCAAAATATGTCAAAATAAAGAAAACATTTTTTTTCAAAAAAAAAATTTAAAATAAAGTAAAAATTTGTCCAATTTATAGTTTCTCAAAAATCTTATTTTTTCGAAGTAAAATTTTTACAAAAATGTTAATCGTATTTAAAAATTAATAATTTTTGGTACGAAAAGTTCCAGCAATTTGCCTTAAGGCACGATGCCTTAATTGCCTTGACAGAATTCCACTTACAGCTAGTTTAAATTATCTTTGTTTTACCTGAATTGCTTGCGCTTCGTCCCTGCGTTCGTCCTCCGTGTTCATAGTGACGAATCGCAACACTAGAAGATTCAGCGAAGCGGCAACGATCGCGAGGCCGAACAGAATGAAAATTAATGCGAACATCACATATTGCGGATTTTTGTTAAGAGCGTTATCTTTCTGCAAGGCCACCATATCGCCAAAACCTATAGTAGTAAGCGTTATAAAGCAATAGTAGACTGAATCGAAATAACTCCAGCCCTCGTATCGGGAGAAAGCGGCCGCGCCGCCTGCTATCGTCAAGGAACTGAGCGTGGTCACCACGCAGATCAGGTCCAGTTCGGAGGCGGTCGTCTGGCCGCAGTGCAGGGACGTCTTCACGCTGCGGATCACCACACTGGAATGGTCGATTCAAATATATAATACATCGACATATATAATAGGCAAATCTCACATAAGGGGGTTGTTCGGTTTTTATTTTGTTTTCGATTTTGAGATTTTTTGGTATTATGAAAGCTAAAAACATTAGAATTATTTAAAAAAAAAATAATTTTAATATCTATTTTTTGACGAAGTTAATATATATATATATATATATATATATATATATATATATATATATATATTGAATGGTAGAGTCTTGGATTTGTGTATATTTTGTAGAGTTTCGAACAAGAATCCAAAAATAATACAAAATAAAAAACAAGAAAAGTTTTTAAAAAAAACAATTTCTTTATTTAATTATTTGTTTATTGTCGACGTTTCGGAACTAGGTACGTTCCATCTTCAGGACATCTGTCAAGAAACATGATCTTGATGAGATTTTAGCAAACAATATGTTTAGGAAAAGAAAATAGATTTTTTCTTAAATAATGAATTAAATTGTAAAAAATATAATAATGTACAGAAATATGATAATATGTTCAAAATAAAAATGATAAAAATAAATGAGTGGATTATCAGAACAGGATATTAAACATAATAGAAAAATTCACACCCTGACATATAAAAACACACACATACAATCTCACATCTCTCGTTCAAGTGTTTACACGTGTTACAAAAGGCACACCAGTTTCATTTAGTTAATTTTCGAAAACCAATCGAACAACATCCAGAGAACAATATTATTTGTGTTTTCAAATAATAATTTTAAAAAAGACAAATTTTTTAGTAATTTTGATTTACAAAATCTAATTATTCGGCGGAAAATTAACTCACAAAATCATTTTTGTTAAAAAAGCTTGTTTAGTGAAAAAGTGCTAACAAATATTCAAACATACAGGTAATTAATTCAACTTTGTCATTAACCTTTTCTTAAAAAAAAAATTTCCATAACTTTCAAAAAAATTTTTCTATTATGTTTAATATCCTGTTCTGATAATCCACTCATTTATTTTTATCATTTTTATTTTGAACATATTATCATATTTCTGTACATTATTATATTTTTTACAATTTAATTCATTATTTAAGAAAAAATCTATTTTCTTTTCCTAAACATATTGTTTGCTAAAATCTCATCAAGATCATGTTTCTTGACAGATGTCCTGAAGATGGAACGTACCTAGTTCCGAAACGTCGACAATAAACAAATAATTAAATAAAGAAATTGTTTTTTTAAAAACTTTTCTTGTTTTTTATTTTGTATTATTTTTGGATTCTTGTTCGAAACTCTACAAAATATATATATATATATATGTATGTATGTATGTATGATCCTCTGAAACCGTTTTTTTCATCGCTCCGCGAGCTATTGTATGCCAGCTGCTCTCTTTTTCATTATAATACCTCAGACACATAACCTTTTTAATGTGTCAGCATCTTTGAACACCATTATGTGTATTAGTACATTGAATTAAATGGTGTATTTAGTACATTATATTAAAAACTTTAAATACGTTTTTCTCAAAATGACTTTTTTCAATGCGGTGCCACAAATTTAAAAAAAAACTACAAGTCGGGTGGACTGCAATACCTAGTTCCCCTACCTCAAACCGAAAAAACCGGAAAAAAGTTCAAATTTTTTTTTCAATTTTTTTTTTTAAAAAAAGTAATTTTTTGTCAAATTTATAGTTTGTCAAAAATCTTATTTTTTCGAAGTAATTTTTTTTCAAAAATGTTAATCGTTTTTAAAAAAATAATAATTTTTGGTACGGGAAGTTCCAGCAATTTGCCTTAAGGCACGATGCCCTAATTGCCTTAAGACAGAATTCCACTTACAGCTAGTTTGTAACTAAAAAACGAACAACCCCCAACACTCACTTACTGTAACAATCACTTACCTGAAATATCGCATGTACAATGCATGGTATTGTATACCATTTACGCTGCTATGGACAAGTTCTCAAGGCGTACAGTAACTTAAAGTTTTATATTTATTCATTTATTTACTTATTTAAAATCATTACTTATTAAGATTATAGCTACTAAATAAGAATAAAGAAGATGTAGAAACTCTATGTTTGGGACTATACGCCAACCTTAAAATTATAGGGCAGTGATGATTAAGTCGGAAAACACAAGTAAAATGTACAAAATAGTATCGGAATGCATGATAGAGGAAGAGAGCTTCAAGTATGTGGAAGGGTAAAGTTCACTTTAGTCCCGAATTCAGAGGTCGATAAAAAACTGTTCAGATGTCTAAAAACATTGTTATTCATAAAAAAGTTGACAAGATTTTGCAAAATTAATATGTTATAGTAGATAATTGAAAATTTTAAGCTTAATTAATTAATCTTTCACGACGATCAGCCAAGCCGTTTCTTTGTAAATAGCAGAAAAGTGAAAAATTTTTCGTTCACGTTTTAGCCCGCAGTTCTAAATCGATTTTGAAAATTCAAAAACCGTTCGAAAGATATTGGTTGGGTTGTGCTGATGAGTTTTTGGTAGAGATCGGCCGGGCCATTTTCTTGTGATAAAGTGTTGAAAAAAAATTTTTGGACGATTATTATTATTATTATTTTGACGGTAGATATCATAGTTTTTTAAATCAGGGCTTTTCAAACTCTGGGTTGCGACCCCCAGGGGGTGGAGAGTCGCATACTATTGTAATTATATTATAACTATTTTTTGAAAAAAGCGGCAATGCAAAACTGTTATGTAGGGAGTCTGCGTTAATATGTTTATGTTAAAAAATAAATTTGAGGCATAGGTATTTTCCCAATGATATCGATACACAACAAAGGATTTCCAATCCATTTTCAATTGAAATTGAAGAAATTAGTTTTTTTAAGCTAAAAGCATAAGAAGAATTTGTTGAATTAACAAGTGATACTATTCTGCGACTCAGATTTTCTCAAGTACCTATGCATGAATTTTGGATAAAAATCAAATCAGAATATCATTTACTATCGGAAATAAGAAGCCCTGTGCTAGATCATACTAAAATATTACGACCCTACGACAACTCGTTTAGCTTTAAAAATTCGTCAAAATTTGCAAATGTTAGTTTCGTTTTTTTGGCTTAGACCTTTCGTCGACGTATGCTCAAAAACGCCTGCACCGATTTCAAAAACGCCTGCACCGATTTCAAAAACTTAAAAACCATTTGATGTATCTCAATGAGGACTATCGCTTGTCAGTTTTGTGCGACGATCGGCCGAGCCGTTATTTTAAAATTTGCAAAAAAGTGTTGAACTTTTTGTCCACATTTAAGCTCATACTACCGAATCGACTTTAAAAAATCAAAAACTGTTCGAAAATATTAGTTGGGAATAATACTGATTAGTTTTAGGTGAAAATCTACCGAGCCGTTTTCTTGTAATTCGTTGCTGAAAAAAAAATTGAGTCGATTTTTATGAAACTTTTTTTTATGATATATATCATGATCTTATACAACTTATTGAAATATTACGCCCTTACGACGAGTAGTTTAATTTTAAAAATTCATCAAAATTTGAGAAAATGAGTAGCTTTTTTGACGTTTGATAAAATTAGAATTAAATGATTTACTTGGTATAACGATAGAGTACTTGGTTTTAATGAACATACTAAACCATTAAAGTCCTACGAAAACTGGTTCAATTACAAAAATTATAGAATTTTGAAAATTTGCTTTTAGAAAATACTCAGATTAACGTGTTCGTTTGCTTTCAATTATGTGTAATAAATCCACCCGGAATACTTTCATACACTCATATATTAATTTATTTTGTATTGATTGAGTAGATTATTCACACATATCGGGAAGTTCATGTAACTTGCTTCGAAGCAAAATACCAATACCAACTAGTTTATCTTATACTAATATTTACTATTTGAGAATTTGGTCCGCTTCAAAATTACGCACATGTTTTCATTGGTTTAAATATGTTTTCTTAATGAATTAATATTTTTAAGATTTTTTTTGAAAATTCTTAGATAAATGTAAGGTAAAGTAACCAACAAATTAAAATTACGTTTGAATTTTTAGAAGACAATAAAACTTTGTGTTATTAATATGTGAGAAGATCCCAGCAATCAGAAAATCTTGAAACTTCAAAAATGGAAAATCTTAGGTTTTATTTCATTTACTATCAGTTTGCGAGAAGTGAATAGTTGGTACTTATTCCTCACCTGCTAAGCCTATTGACCCGTTCTCCTATACTCTGGAACATAACTAGGCCCAATGGGATGCCTACGCTGGCGTAGCACATCGTGAACAACTTGCCGCTGACCGTGCTAGGCGTAGAGTGACCGTAGCCGATGGTCGTTAGAACCGTAGTCGCGTAGTAGAAAGCGCCCGCAAATTTCCATTGCGGACCTGCTTTATGCGGCTCCGATTTCAATACAACCGTCTCCATTATTTTGAAGTCGTCAGATGATATGTTGTACTTTCTTATCACCTTTTTTTCGATTACTGGAATTAGACACATAAAGGAATCAGTCAAAAAAAAAAAAAAAGCTAAGGTGTATTAGGGTGTAATAAAAGTTTAACCCTCCGTCGGTCGGATATTTTTTCACTTCCAAACGGTCGGAGTGGTCTGGCTGGACCACCATTCATTTTACATGCATTTATATGAGGTAAATGAGTTTTTGGTGTCATATATTAACGATTATTAGTAGTAAATATTTATAGTTTAGTTTTTTCTTTTTTTTACCGTCTTTTGCATGTGTTGTGCTTGCTTATAATAAAAATATATATATATATTATATTATATAAAAAAATCAAAGAATATAAAAAAATCGTTGCTTTTTTTATTATTTTTATTTTTCTGTTTTATATCAATGAAAAACAATATTTATTCTTTTTCGGCTCCTTCGAAATGAATGTGAAATTCGAAATGAGGTGCGTCGCCTTTGAAATGAACTGTAAAATTCAAGTTGAAAATATAATTTTACTACAGGCTTGCCAAAAAAAATTCGAACGCAGTACGGGTAGAAAAATTGTTGATAGTGTGCGCATTACTCATCCGATTTTCAATGTTTGCGATGACCACTAAGTTCGGTAGGTTTTCAAGGAACTCTCGTCGTGAAAATACTAACATTCATGTTACAACACATAGCAAAGAATATATAAAATGCAGTTTGAATAGAAAATACCAGTAAAAGACAAAATACTAGTTTACATATATCAAAAAGCGTATATTTCATATAAAATGTATGGGTGGTCTAGACAGACCACTCCGGCCGTTCGAAGTATAAAAAAGTTAATATCCTTATAATTATCCTTCTGTACATTTTTTCGTCCTGATTTTTTTATTGATCGACAGCTAATGAAATTTTAGGAAAAGTCAAGAAATTTCAAGTGGATGGGATTACCGGAAGTATTTTTTTTTAATTGAAGTCGAAAAAAGTCTGGCCAGACCACGCCGACTGACGGAGGGTTAATATTACAAGCAACTTCGATAAGACGGACAGGCTGTCATATATTATATAATACAGATATCATTGTGTATAACAATAAATATATTATATATATATTCCACATTATTGATGACATGACGAATAAAAGGTATAGTATAGTTTCCGACAAGTGTTCGAAGGATTATACAATGAAATCATTTTGGAACAACAGCCCGGACCTTTCATTTGCGCAAATCAATGTACAGTTTAAAATTGCAGCGATATAAAATGAGTACACAAAGTTTCCATATGTGATTGCTCAGATCAACAAAAAACTTACAAGCCAAGTGAATGATGTGATTTTTGAGCTACCAACTGCCAACCCCTATTTTTAATTATAGTACTAATAACCAGATTGTGCGCCTCATCAGAAACAAGAATTAAACATCTGGTCTTAGGAAAAGAAGTTGGAGATTGCCGCTCATCGTAGTTCTCGTGACATTCACATTCCTTAGCCGCTTAGTTCGGCAAAAGCATATTCAGATCGTTGGGAATTCAACGACTACTTGCTTACATATGGGCCTTTTTGCAAACCCAAAGCGTACTACCTTCGCGAAATTGTGCAGATTCAACAAATCAGCCATACCATAGTCATCACATTAGCAAACAACTAAAAGAACTAACAAAACAAGCTTGCAAAACTTATAGAAGTAAATTGAGAATTTAAAAAATAAATTAGGATAAAAAAGCAGAGAACGGCTCAACAACTCAAAATGCTGGTACCAAAAAAAATTCGTTAAAAAGGCAAGAAAATGCCAGGTGCCAGGTATCGTTTTTCTAAAAAGTTTGCAACAAAACCCGAATACAAAATATAACAAAGATCAGTAAAGGCTAAAAAAATACTATATGATTTTTCTTAGATACTGGTTCTGACGTCTTTTGCTACCCTTGGAGAACCATCCGCAAATATAACAAGGCAAAATAGAAATTACAAGCAGCCAATGATACATCGTTTAGAATTAGCAAGTCACCATCTAAAATGTGAACTCACCAAATATATACTTTGATTTCTTACCATTTCTTAGAACACTACCGGATTGCCCAAATAAACGAATATGTTTATTATTATATGTTTATGTCGATAGAACCATATGTGCAACAAAAGCATAAAAACTTTCAAAATCATGATTTATTTATCAATGCATCATATAATAGCAATATTTCCAAATTTAGTCATCTTTCATCCAGTATACTGCGACGAATAAAAATAGTGCTAATTCGTTATCAGGTCGCAAATACCGTAAAGTAACGCTACGTGAAGGAACTCTACGCCATTCAAAACGTTCAAGATCTTCTCCTCCAAACCTTAAAAAATGATGAAGAGTGGTACAGCTTGGCGAACTGAACTTGACATGTATCCAGTACTTCATATACATTATTTTTTTATTAGTATACAAGGATCTACAATATTTTCAGTCGTAGACTTAGTCAAGGCATACCGGTTAATGAACACAATTCTCCAAAAAGGTTATGTATGCGTTTACTGTGTATAAGCATTAAAAAGTAGAATAAAATGTCCATCAGTATGTAAAGATATGTATAAGATATTTTACTTATTCATAAGCAAACCGTAATCAATAATAATTAATATTATTTCAAATTTTTGTCAAGCTTATTCATAATAAGTATGTAAAGTAAGATTATATTATTATTATTAATAATAATGTAAATTTTAGTTGCAGTAACGGTTCGATTATAAAATAAAAAAGCGGTTACAATAAGTAACAACCCACCCTAACATCATGGCCAAAAACTTAATAAAAGACCATGGCATTAAACGGCTCATTTTTGATATTATTTAGTAATCTTATTATATGTAGAATTACTCGTAGGCTTAATTAAATATTTTCACAACAGGACTACATCTATAAGCTAAATAGATCCAACATCGAATCGATCACCAATGGAAGACCTTTCGACCTTTTTTCTTTATTTAATAAACCATCAAAATTACTGAATGTTGTATAAGAACGACAGATTGTAATTCACAAATGTAAATAAAAACAGTAACAACAGGAAAATTAAATATGAGCAAAGCACTGAATCAGGTATAATTTGACACCAGTATAATTATTGCATTATTGCAAACACGCAATCAGAAGGTGCAAGGTCAGGACTCTATGTTGGATATGACAAAACATCCCAATCAAATTCCAATAATTTTTACCTAGTGGTCAAAGATAAAATAAATCACCGCTTCAATTTATCAATTCAGGCCTCTTTTATTCAACGGCGTTGTTTAATTTCATTAGTTGTTCAATGTCGACATCAGAATTGATTATTTGATTGAATTATAAGAGTAAAAGTAGACAATGCCTTTGTAATAAACTTTATCGGGACCAGAGCATTTTTTATTTTACAGTAAAAAATCATCAGAACAAAACTTGGCAAACCAATTTTGACAATACTGCTTTTTTTTAGGCTTTGTCTTAACTTTTTGTGAGCTCAAGATGCCTTTTTACCCTTGCAAAAGTAAAAAGGCAAAGTATGATAAACATTTTTGATTTTATTTTCCACCTTTCAACGAAAGCTAAACGAAAACTACTCAATAGATCGAAAAACACTTTTTTACTGATTGTAAGCTGAATTGCCTACTATCGAATATCAAAAGGCATTTTTTATTTGGACTACTTCAGTAAACCTTTATATTATTCTCCCACTCTTCCAATGGTGCTAGTGGACAAGGTTTTTCGCAAATAGAATTCAAGCGAAATAAAATTCAATTTTGAATCATTGTAATTGACAATATATATTTATGGAATGTGTTCTGAAAGATTATTATGATGACAATTTATCTAACATTAATGCATGTCGTAACTATGAAAAACAATTCAATTTAGCAATAAAATATTAATTATTTCCTCATATTGAAGCGTAGCAAGGTCAGTGCCAAAAAACCATTCGCACGTTAATAGACTGACATATCTAAAAGATATTAGTTGCTGTTTCAGTTATAACAATGTAGTTGTAGCAATGAGGCAGCTTAGACAATTTTCACATTTAAATATATACAAATAGTTTGTTTATTGAGTTATGTTACATTTTAATTATAAGCTTAGAGAAAAATGTAATAAATTTCCCGAAAAGTTTATTCTTTTACGAAAAAACTTTATATTTTCTTGTCGTTTTCAAGTCATTCTAAATCGAATGAGATCAAATTTGAAATGAATATGTGTGTATTTTAGACAATTTTTTACTTTTTGTCGACGTTATCTAAAAAATGGTTGTACCGATTTCTAAAATTTAATGTATCCGGATAAGGACCATCATTGGTTAGTTCTGCGCGACGATCAGCCAAGTCGTTTCATTGTAATTAGCAGAAACGTTTAAAACTTTTCGTCGACGTCTTAGGCCACAATTTTGATCGACTAGAAAAATTCTGAAACTAAAAGATATTGGCTGGGAATCGCATTAATTAGCTTTTGGTGAAAATCGGCCTGTGCGTTTCTTCGTAATATATTGTTGAACTTTTTTTGACGATTCTGATGCAACAATAAATTTGGTATTCTGAAAGAACACAAAAAATATTATAGGCCTCCTATAAGCGGTTGAATTATAAAAATCCATCGAAATTTAGAATTTCGCAGTGTGCTCAAGTAATTCTAATCAGAATCCATCGGTACTTCTGTGGTGTTTCGTAGATGGTAGCTACTGATTGGCGTCAATTACACTTGTTAGATAAAATATATTTTAGAACCCGAAATCGATTAAATGAAATGTGTTAAACAAATTAATTTAATTTGAACAATCTCAGATATTACTAGTATGTTTCAAAGATATCACAATTGAAAATCGTTTTTAATGAAAGCGAAATATTTATTTTAGAAATAAACAGTTTAACATTTAACTTACAACCAGCTTATTTTATTGAGTAGTAACAATTTTGAATTAATTTTAGTCTATTTTGTATTTCGATTCATGCAACCTTTATTCATTAATTTATGTTATGTTATTATTCAGTCCTTTGAATAGTAATAAGTAGTGTTATAGTTGTAACTTTTATTTTAATATTGTTTTACTTTTATGATATAAAATCGTGCATTGCGCGTACAGAAATGATATTGACTTTATAAAACCTCACACAATAAAGTGCTTATGAAAATAATTCATTCAACCTTAGAATATTATGGAACTAATGTTCTTTATGCGCCTTGTTATTATTCAGTCTTTTAAATAGTATTAAGTAGTATTATAGTTGTCACTTTTATTTTAATATCGTTTTACTTTTATAATATAAAATCGTGCATTGCGCGTAAAGGAATGATATTGACTTTATAAAACCTCACACAATGAAGTGCTTATAAAAATAATTCATTCAAACTTAGAATATTAAGGAACTAATGTTCTTTTTGCGCCTTGTTTACGTTTTATTTCTGAAATGTATATACCGTGTAAAAACAGCATTCGATTCAGGAAATGTAATACATATAGAAAAATCTATACTCTGAAGAGATACATTTTCTTTACATGTGGCTTGTACATATATAACTAATATCCATTAGTTATATTGATAAAATGTGATTTTTTTCAACTTTCAATTTCAATTGTCATCTTTTGTGCGAAAGCGAAAAAAATTAAGTGTGAAGTTTTACAATTGAGATTATTATGAAACCCAAACATAAGTGTTGAGGATGTCTTTCCCGCAAGGTCCGCATGCGTGTGCGGAGTGTGGGCGTTGTAATTGTAAGTGAAACTCCATACGACTAGAATGACAGCCGTATCGGGTTAAAAACAGCAAAGTCAAATGTGAATCTGCTTCCCATGCTGGCCGTACCTTGCAAAGTTTCCCAGCGCCTTTTTTCCGTGTCTGACTCGAGTGCATCGAAGACCGCAGCTCCCACCAGTAGATAAGTAAATGTGCACACGATAAGCGATAGCGTGCGTACGTTTTGCTTCTTCATTATCTAACTACGAGCTTCATGCTCAAGCGTTTGTGGGGGATGGTCTAGCCCCCAATTGTTCTCGCTAGCTACTCGCATTCAGATGTCCCACGAACGTCACCATCGTTCACTTTGTAATCACTTCACTGTCACCTATTTAGAATGAGCACCACGACCACGCAACTACTTTCGAATGTTGTGTTATCACTGCGCGGCAGACGGACCGCGGCAGGCGACGCCAGTGACCGCGCGGCATCAACCCCTGATGCAATATGCTGTCGAGTGTGTGCGTGCGTGTTGCGCGCTTCACGCGGCAAGCGGTAAGCGGCGAGCGGTGCGGCGAGCGGTGCGGCGCGATGCGTTCTGCGTTCCGACTTCAAGGTGGTTCCTAGCGCGCAAATCCATGTTTGCTAATCGCCTCCCGCAGCCCGCAGCCCGCAACCCGAAGTCGCCGACCTCGCGCCGGACGATCGATACCACCAGCGCGGTGACGTCACATTCGCTCATTCTTGACGCGTATGAGCATCACGACTTTTTTTTATCATAACTTCCCTCAACAGTTTCGACCAGATGCGGTTACGTTTCATTCGAGCGCGATATAACACACTTCGGCTAGGAGACGTTCACGCGTAATATATGTATGTACATACATGCATACATGCACACACACACACACACATATATATATATATATATATATATATATATATACCCATATATATTTCTAATTTTCATGTCGCAAATTTCGTTTCCGTTTTATATATATGTATATATATATATATATATATATATATATATATATATACTAGCAAACCCGACGAACTCCGTTTCGCCACCAGATGGTTTCGTGAGAAAGATGAAGAAATTTTTTGTTTGGCTTATATTTGAAAAGGAAAAATTTGATTTTATTGAACAACAGTAATGAATTTATTTCGATTATAAAAATGAAGTGTTTTTTAGTTGAACTTCTCTAAGTAAATGAAAGTGAATCCGCAAATTAGCCGTTTCATTGATGTGCTCTTTGGTAAACCACATTTTTTGTTTTTTGGTCTGACGTTAACACAAACAAAGCGGATGGTTTTCCAACTCGTGAACAGGCAACGTATAACTGCCCATGTGAAAAACAATGATTTTCTAAATAATCTATTTGAAATTTATCCCGCAAACATTAAGCGATTGGCCTTGAGACTTGTTATTACGAACGCAAGGCGAACTGGAAATTGCAATCGTTTGAAGTCAAACGGAAGACCAGTCGGAATCATTGGTATGTCACCAAATCGCCAACATATTTCTTGGCGGCAAGAATTGCTCGTTGACTTAACCAAGCATAATTCTGATAATTCTCACTAATGTCATTACTCGAAATTTTAATTACGGTGCGTGAAGTTCCAGTAGCTTGCATTAAGGCACGATGCCATGCACAACTAATTTTCTTAGTTATAAACCTTGCGGAGCCCGAGACCTTTCCAACGAATGCAAAATCGTCGAAATCGGTTCGTGCGTTCTGGAGTTATTTCGTCAGGAAGGAAAACCCGACTTATTTTTATATATATAGAATATATATATATATATATATATATATATATATATATATACATATATATATACATATATATTTCTAATTTTCATGTCGCAAAGTTCGTTTCCGCACTCCCCCGAAACGGCTTCACCGATTTTGACCAAATTATTCGTATTCAGTGGGTCTGAATACGGCTACTACCTGTTTTTCACACCACTAAGCGATAAGGGTCGTTTACCTTTAAAAATTTTTGTTTTTTTTATGTGGCATTAACAAATACATACAACCCTGCATTTTTACTTTTTTATCACCAACCCCTAATTTTAATCATTTTAGTAATTTAATCATTTTTTCATTTTTATCGAATATATTTGACATAATTTTAGTAAAGATTTTTAATCTCAATAAAAAAGCTTAAATTTTTCTTTAAATTACAATTTATTTTTATTGCGGGTTGTCCAGCCCTAATTTTTTTAAATTTTAGGGGTCAATTTTTCCATTATAATTTTTTTAATGCGGAGTTGACAAAATTAATACAACCTTTTTCAAAATACTATTTATTTTTGTCAAGGTTTGTCTATCCCTACCATTTTTTTTTAAATTTTGGGACCAATTTTCTTTATTTTAATTTTCTATAATTCGGAATTGAAAAATACATAGTATCCTTTTTATTTCGAAAAACTGTTTTTTTTATCAAGGGTTGTCCACCCCGAACTCATTTTAAAATTTTTTAATTTTAATTTAAAATATTTGCAGAAATAAAAAAATCTTTATTTATACGTTTCGAGACTTGATGTGTGTCATCATTCAGCAAATCAACCAAACAAAAACAAAAACTTCAAACACTTAAATTAGTTTAAAAAAAAATTCAAAAAATAAATAAACACTTAACCAAAAATTTTAAATCAAAAAAATAAATTAGACAACATGATGCCTCCTAAGCAAAAGGGATGCTTAGCAACTCAGAATCGACAATGAAATTAATCAATGTTTTTCTTTGAGGCTGATAATTATTTCAAATATAATATGATTCAATGTCAAAAAACTATCATACATACATACATATATATATATATATATATATATATATATATATATATATATAATGTATGTAATACATACATACGTGTGTGTATGTATGCATAAATACTTATTTGTTTAAGTTCATGTATATGAATTAATATACCTAATATGAATACATATATATTACTTATATATATTAGATTCTATATCAATTTTTTTTACTCAGGTTTAGTAATGGTAATTTTCTTATTACTTATTACTTTTTATTTTTTTGTATCAGTAATATTAGAAGTAGCTAATTTATTGATATTTCAATGTATCCCACTAAATATGCTACAAAACCTTGGGAAAGGCAGGCCAAAGATTAATGAGGTATCGAGGAAAAAATTGCACACAATATAAGTACCTACTCAATATTATCACAATCATCAATGATAGGTTATTAAATTTTTTTAAAGAAAAGAATGATAAGTTTGAAATATTATGTAGTACTATCGATAAAACAGAAACTAAAATATATCAACATTACTAGATTTTTCTAGCAGTAAACTTATTTTATTGAAATAACATTAAAATTTCTCATCACAATTCATTTTATAGAAATAAAATAGTTCTTGTATAATTTTATGCTTGATTAACCATATCCATATTTCATACAATAGCTATAAATAGTTTACAACAAATATAATACTTGAATGTTTAGCATTTTATTTTATTTTATTTATTTATTATATATATATATATATATATATATATATATATACACATTTTACATTATTCAACTCTTATAAATTATAATCACAGAGATTGAATTTAGCAAAAATATATGGACACACCTATAAATATTTACAAAGTTAATACCTATGTTTATGCCATAAAAATATATATCTTATTTATTAACGAATGACACACAAATTCATGTGCATTTAAACCATAGTCTCTCAGGTGATAACATAATTAAATTTTTAACAATTTGAGGGAAAACAATTTGTACTTTTAAAAACATTGTAGTTAAAAACAAAAATATGTTCAATAAGTATATACATTTAGGTCAAATTTAGGCAATCGTTTCTTATTGACAAGTATACTACAATATTAAAGTTTATTAGTATATAAAATTTAAAACAGATTTAAATTGCGATTAAATATAAAAATGCTTATGTCTATATTGGAAATGGTTCAATTGTTATAAAAAATATCGATTGAAAAAAAAATACTAAATATCGTATTGAAATTTAAAAAAAATTTAATTAAAATTTCTTGAATTCATAAAACAATACACAATCAAAGGTTTACAACTATAACTTAAGCTAGGTCAACTTTGATAACATATCTTGGACTTCATATCTATACTATTTACAATATTGTATAAAAAAATACGAATGCTAATAAAAAAAATCTCATAAATGAAAATTTATGCTAATGCCAAAATCTATCAAGTACAGAATGTGCTGTTATCTTTAATACTAACAATATTAATCATAGAAAGTATAAAATATATATGTTTGGCAAATGATTAGAGCAAGTCTGAAGTATTTTTAACACATCACTATTATATAAAATAATAACTACACATATCATGATCACTTTGAAATGCAATATTTGTATACGCATTAATTGGCAAAAATTTAATGTGCTTACATTTTTGAGAAAAGTTGCTTCTGCAGAAGGCATCATATAAGTCTCAAAAACTAAGCAAAAAAAAAAAACTATGAGAAAATTTTGCATGCCATCAATTCGTACCTTTTGTTTGACCTTTGTACATTCGTGACTAAATATGTAACTACAAAGAGGTATCCATGATAGATTAATTTGACTTTTTGGCTCAGCATTTCAAATAATTCATTTATAAAATCAAAATTATTATTTTTGATAAATGTAAAACTAAAAAATGGCATGAGAACTAGAATATGAGCATTTATAAATGTAAAACTAAGAGGCATATGAAAAATATCAGTTAAAATTATGTATTAAAAAACAGGACTATTTCAAAGGTTGAAGATTATACCGACTGAAGTTAGATCGACAGCTCAAATTTGTTACCCATCAAAAGGCAGTATCTTCTCATAATATGAGAAATCATATAATTCTATGATGGATTTATAACACATAACAAACTACAGCCATATTACAGCTTTACATTTCATTATGTGATGGTATCAGTCACACAGCGAGCTTTGGACATTTAATAATTAGGATTGAAAGGTGCTTGTTTTGAATATGCTTCACTTCGCACAACTTCTGAATAAGGTGGTGGAAGAACATTGGCAGCTGTAATTGATATAAAAAATTATAAGTAACGAATACTTACAAATATATTCTTAATAAAGCAGCTTACCAGGCACTGATGATTGCATTGGTTGAGGCATAACTTGAGGGTTGTTCAAGGGGTATGGTGGTTGAATAGGATAATGTTGAGGCGGATATGGTTGTGCCGGAGGATATGCAGCTTGAGGATAAGGTGGATACGCTGTCGCATTGTAGCCTGGTTGAGTGCCAGGGTAAGGAGCAGCATTCGTGTTCTGATAAGCAGTTTGTTGTGCAGCACCATCAACCGGTTCATGTGTTGTGCTTGTTATAATAACTGGCGCTATATAATATAAACGGGGTTATAAAATAAATGTATGATATTTGCATGTATTACTAAAAATGAACCAACTGTTGAAAATTTGTCCTTGTGTTTTTCGACGACAACACAAACCACATATGAAGAATAGTATGAATAGAACAATGAAAATAACGATTGGTAAAAATATATCCATGGTTTTGTGCGAAAACTAATTATATACGCTAATTATACTTTATCACACTAAACTTTATAACTTCGCTTCTTAACAAAGCAATCAGAAATCTAAATAACAAAACGTCAAAATCGCTATTTATAAAAGGTGGCGCTCTCTTTATTCGCTAATGTTTCCATATAAACATGATTCATAGATTCATTCGTAGAGATAAGCCAAAGCCATTGAGCGATGCCGGTAGATGCCAGCCGTTGCCAATTTAGGGCGTGTATGCGAGTATGCGCATCACTCATTATCAGTAGTCAGTTAGTAAGATCGTTACAATATGAAGTAGTGATGTACTGACTCGAAAAATTCCTGATTTAAATAATTCGAATAACTAGTGGTTGCATGGCATCCTTGTTTATCTATGCATGGCATCGTGCCTTAAGGCATTTTTTTAGTATATTAGAACTATAGTCAGAATTAAAAATAAAATCTGAATTATTTTCGATATACAAAAAATTAAAAAAAAAAAAAAATGAAGCAACAAATTTTTTTTCCAAAATCAATTATTTTGTTAAGACAAGCAGAAAGTTCTTTGAATCACTCAAATTGGACGCTTAGTTCTCTCAAAAACTGCCATTTTTCCCACATTTAGCTCTGTATTTCCGAAACCGCTGCACCTGCCTTTGCCAAAAACTAATCTCCCCATCGTTACGAATTGAATGCTTTTTGGATCATTCAAATTGGATTCTCCGATCTCTCAAAAAATCGATTTTTATTTTCAGCACTCTTTGCTCCGTATCTCCTCATCGGATGTACTTGCCTTTGCCAAAAACTAATCAGCTCTTTTCCCTGTCGATAGAAATCGAATGTTTTTTGAACCATTCAAATCGGTTGATCCGTGCGCCCGAAAACGTGGACGAAATATTGTATTCATACATACATACACGCACATATCCATTTTTTCTGAGGTATGCCAAAATGTTCAGAAACCTTCAAAACGTCGAGAAATGCAAAGATTTTCAATTTCGATTTTTGGACAATTACAATAACTTACCCTACGGGAAGTTAAAAACTAGTTGGTATTGCTATTTTACCTTGAGGCAAGTTACATGAATTTCCCGATATGTGTAAATAATCGACTTAATCAATAAAAAATAAATTAATTTATGAGTGATTAAAAGTATTCTGAGTGGGTTTATTACACATAATTGGAACCGTACGAACACGTTTACTCGGAGTGTTTTCTTAAAGCATATTTTCAAAAATCACAAATTTTTATAATTGAACCAGTTTCCGTAGGACTTTAATGGTTTAGTATGTTCATTAAGACCAAGTACTCTATCACGTTATACCAAGTAAATCGTCTAATTTATAATTTATCAAACGTCAAAAAAACTACTCATTTTCTCAAACTTTGATGAATTTCTAAAATTAAACTACTTGTCGTAAGGCCGTAATTTCAGTAGGATCCATAAGACCATGATATATATCGCCAAAAAAAGTTCCATAAAAATCGGCTTAATTTTCTTTTTTTCTACAGTTAATTACAAGAAAACGGGTCGGTAGATTTTCACTTAAAACTAATCTGTATCATTCGCAACTAATATCTTTCGAACAGTTTTTGATTCTTTAAAATCGATTCGGTAGTATGAGCTTAAATTTAGACGAAAAGTTTAGCACTTTTTTCCAAATTAGAAAGAAACGGCTTGGCTGATCGTCGCACAAAACTGAGAAACAAAAATCATCATCGAGATATATCAAATGGCTTTCAAATTTCTGAAATCGGTTCAGGCGTTTTTGAGCAAACGTTGATGAAAGGTCTAATTTTGACAAATGCCAAAAAAACTATACTAATTTTAGCAAATTTTGACGAATATTTAAAGCTAAACGAGTTGTCGTAAGACAGTAATATTTTAGTATGATCTAGATTCTAGAAGACTATGGTATCTACCGTCAATAAAATAATAATCAAAATCGACGAAAAAAATTTTTTTAACACTTTATTATAAGAAAACGGCTCGGCCGATCTTTACCAAAACCTAATCAGCACGATTCCCAACCAATATCTTTCGAACGGTTTTTGATTTTTCAACATCGATGTTTGCCTTTTGCCTAAAGGCAAGTTGCATAAACTTCTCAATTCGTCTAAATATTCGCTTAATCAAGAAGAATTAAAATTAGTTATTAGACAAAACGTTCAACTATTTATGTCGAAAATAAAGATTTCGCTTGCACTAAAAACTATTTTCAAACGATATCTTTGAAACATATAATATCTGTAATTATATAAAATAAAATAATTTGGTTATAACATTTCATTTCACCCATTTAGTGCTGCAAAAATGAATTTTATTTTATGAATAGGTAATCAATACAGTATAGGAACGGATAAATGTTAATAAATTACATTTATAGAACATGAATAAAATCTGTTAAACAAATTAATCAACTAATACAATATCTGTAATTATATAAAATAAAATAATTTGTTTAACACATTTCATTTCACCCATTTAGTATACAAAAATGTATTTTATTGTGTGAATGTAAACGGTAATCAATACATAGTGTACAAAATACCTTATGTAACTTTGCCTAATATTTCTAAGAATTATATAAACTGAATTGGGAAGTTAAAATTATTTATTTAAAGTATATAAGTGAGCTTTAAAAATAAGCCACAATCAAAATTAAAATCTGAATTATTTTATCGATAAATAAAATTTTTTCTTTTCAAAAAAAAATTGAAATAAAAAAAGCTGTTTTTACATACAAAATATACAAAAAGCAAATGTTTTCATATACCATATACAAAATTGGAATTGTTTTGCCACCACAAGCAGAAAGTTCTTTGAAGCCTTCAAATCGGATGCTTATTTCTCTCAAAAACTGCCGTTTTTGTACTTTAAGCTCTGTATCTTCGAAATGGTTGGACCTGCCTTTGCCAAAAACTAATTAGCACATCTCTCTATCAATGGAAATCGAATGTTTTTTGAACCATTCAAATCGGTTGATCTATGCGCCCGAAATCGTGGACGAAAAATTGTATCCAAACATACATACATACACACAAACACCACATACATCAATTTTTTTATGGTATGCTAAAATGTACAAAAATCTTTGAAACTTAAAGACATTCAAAGTTTTCATTTTTAATTATTAATATTTTCGCATTCACTAAAAAATAATCAAAGCGATTTCTAATTGATGTCTTTCAAACACACTTATAATATCTCTAATTGCGGAAATTAAATTTTTTTAACATATTATATTTCTTATAATTTGTGTTCATTAAATGTAATTTATTAACAATTATTCATCTGTGTACTGCGTATTGATTACCGTTTATATTCATACAATAAAATACATTTTTGCATACTAAATGGGTGAAATGAAATGCGTTAAACAAATTATTTATATTGATATTGATATTGTATTAATTAAATTAATTTGTTTAACAGATTGTATTCATGTTCTATAAATGTAATTTATTAATAAATATTTGTCTGTGTACTGTGTTACCGTTTATATTCATACAATAAAATACATGTTTGTATACTGAATGGGTGAAATGAAATGAGTTAAATAAATTATTTTATTTTATATAATTACAGATATTGTATTAATTAAATTAATTTGTTTAACAGATTTTATTAATGTTCTATAAATGTAATTTATTAATAATTATTTGCCTATGTACAGTGTATTGATTAACGTTTATATTCATACAATAAAATACATGTTTGTATACTGAATGGGTGAAATGAGATGAGTTAAACAAATTATTTTATTTTATATAATTACAGATATTGTATTAATTAAATTAATTTGTTTAACAGATTTTATTAATGTTCTATAAATGTAATTTATTAATAATTATTTGCCTATGTACAGTGTATTGATTAACGTTTATATTCATACAATAAAATACATGTTTGTATACTGAATGGGTGAAATGAAATGAGTTAAACAAATTATTTTATTTTATATAATTACAGATATTGTATTAATTAAATTAATTTGTTTAACAGATTTTATTAATGTTCTATAAATGTAATTTATTAATAATTATTTGCCTATGTACAGTGTATTGATTAACGTTTATATTCATACAATAAAATATATTTTTGCAGCACTAAATGGGTGAAATGAAATGTGTTAAACAAATTATTCTATTTTATATAACTACAGATATTATATTAATTAAATTAATTTGTTTAACACATTTTATTCATGTTCTATAAATGTAATTTATTAATAATTGTTAAACAAATTATTTTATTTTATATAATTACAGATTTTGTATTAATTAAATTAATTTGTTTAATTGATTATATATTTATATTCATATATATATTTATATTCATTCATATATATATATATATATATATATATATATATATTTATATATTTATGTTTATGTTCATGTTTATATTTATATTTATATTTATAATTATATTCTATAAATGCAATTTATTATTAATTATTTGCCTGTGTACAGTGCGTTTGATTAGCGTTTATATTCATACAAAAAAAATTATTGTATGAATATAAACGCTAATCAATACACTGTACACAGGCAAATAATTATTAATAAATTACATTTATAAAATATATAAATATACATAAATAAATATAAATATAAAATCTGTTAAACAAATTAATTTATTTAATACAATATCTGTAATTATATAAAATGAAATAATTTGTTTAACAATTACTAATAAATTACATTTATAGAACATGAATAAAATGTGTTACACAAATTAATTTATTTTATATAAATACAGATATTGTATTAATCAAATTCAATGATCATCATTCTAAAATCAATACAATAAAATGTGTTAAACAAATTAATTTATTTTATATAAATACTAATATTGTATTAATTAAATTAATTTGCTTAACAGATTTTGTTCATGCTCTATAAATGTAATTTATTAACAATTATTAAACAAATTATTCTCTTTTATATAATTACAGATATTGTATTAATTAAATTAATTTGTTAAACAGATTATATATTTATATTTATTTATATATTGATTTACAAATATAATGAAAATGTAAAACAAATACATTTGACCGTCTGATCATTGAACATATGCACATCAAATTTTCAGATATTTTAAAC